AAAAAAAAAAAAAAAAAGAATAATCATCTGTTGTGTGCCAGGCAGTGAAAACGCAAAGTGATGAGAATGTGTAAGCTAGCAGTTTGGTATACTGATGTTAGACTGTCTAGGCTTAAACATCAGCTGGGGCATGTCTTGGCTCTGAGTTTTGGGTAAGTTACACAAACTTTCTGTGTATTAATTTTTTCTTTGCTAAACTGAGGGTAATAATAGTACCTATTCAGTGGGTGAGTGTGACAACTAAACCAGATGATGTGTAAAAAGCAGAGCCTGATACATCATCAGTGCTCAACGAATGGTCGCTAATACTCTTAGTGTGACAAGTCTAACTAGACACAGGACACAAGCATAAAATGGAAAAAACATCCACCATAAACAGAGATGCTAACTGGCAGGTGCACAGTAGCTTGCTGAGAATGACTACGGGCACGGGGGTGGTGGCTGGGCCTGCAGGAAGAAGAGGGGTGTGGAGACACCTCAGAAATAGAGATGAGCAGGCACAAGCCATGTTTTGGGTTGAATGTGTAAACTGGTTTGGTTAGAGGGTTTGCTGGATGACCTCTTTGAGTTTCTGTGACCGAGGGAGGTGTGTATAGCAACGGAGAAAGAAAATTTGGAGAGAGAAGCGGGAATATATATTAACATATATATATATGTGAAGGACTCTCTGTGAGCCTAATTTTAAAAAGGTCAACTGTGGCATGGTAGATCTGGAATGTACAAATTTAGGTCACGTGTGTGTTGTGTTTGGCCTTGGCTGGACATGACTGTTGGGGCCATCTGCCTGCCCAGTCCCTCTGCTGGCCCTCAACTGAAGGTGTGGCCCTCCTGTGCCCTTTCCCTCCCACTCCACACTTTCTTCTCCCAGGTGATCTCATCCACTTCCACACTCCAGTGCTCCCCTCTGTGCTGATAGCTCCCAGACCTCCAGCTCCCACTTAGCCCCCTTCCCTGGGCATCTGACCTGTCTATCCCGTTGCCTGTTAGACATGCCCACCTGTAGGTTCCAGAGGATGCAACTCCAGTTCATCCTGCTCACACAGGGCTCATCTTTCTCTTGCCCAAACTGCTTCTCCTCTGGAGTTCCCAATCTCAGTGAATGACACCACCAGGCCACCAAGGTAGCAATCTGAGTCCCCCTCCCATCACGTGCCTGCATCTATTCAGTCACCAAGCCTCAATCTCACGATCATGCCTTGTGTCTGGCCCTTCTTCTCTACCCCAACCATTGCTCCCCACCGCAGACCTTCATCATTTCCTGCCTGGCCCACTGCAGAAGCCTCCTGATTGGTTGCTCTGCCTTCCCACCTGCCTGCTTTTAATTCATCCTGTCATTATACGGCTAAAGACACTCTTCTAAACTCATATCTGGTCATGTCCCTGTCCTGCTTAAAATCTTTCATTGGCTTTCTGCCACCTGCCAGATAATGCCCACCTGGACCTTGTTCCTCTTTGCAGCCCTGTTCTAGCCACACTCAATTGCTTAACCAAACTCCCCACCCCCACCAAGCAGTTACACACCACATGCCTTTACTGAAATGGCATCTTCTGCCTAGGGTGTCTTCTTAACCCCTTCCCTTGCTTTCTCTTGGGCCTGGTAAAAACCTATTTTATTAAATAAAAGATACCAGCTCTTCTATGAAGATTTTCCTGATCCTTACGTGGAACTGACCACTCTCTCCTTTGTGTCTTTTTACATTCTTCTATCTCAGAACCAAACATTTGTGAGGCACTTACTGCTTTTTTTCCCTTCTCTCTTTCTCTCTTTTTTTTGGGGGGGGGGGATAAGGTCTGTGCTAGAGTGCAGTGGCATCATCATAGCTCACTGCAACCTCCAACTCCTGGACTCAAGTGATCCTCCTGTTTCAGCCTCCCGAGTAGCTGGGACTACAGGTGTGTGCCACCATGCCTGCCTAATATTTTAATTTTTTTGTAGAGACAGGGGTCTTGCTATGTTGCTCAGGCTGGTCTCAAACTCCTGGCCTCAAATGATCCTCCTGTCTTGGCCTCCCTAAGTGCTATGATTACAGGTGTGAACGACTGCACCTGGCCTCTTTTTTCCTCTTCTCTAATGAGTTCCTTGAGGGCAGGAACCACGTGTCCATGGAAAGAGGAAGCGCAGGTCACTGAGCTATGGTGAGGTGTCTCCACGACCACGCATCTTCCCTAGGATGATATCAGGACTGTGGAGGCCAAGAAGAGGGGAGCCAGGGATCTAACTGCTCAGTGAATACGGGCGAGTGACTTGGCAGTCAGTTCAGCAGTGAGTAATGGATACAGGGCTTTGGATGGTGTTATGGTTGATGGTGTGACCTTACAAGAGTGGGCAGAGTTTGCAAGAGTGTGAGAATAATGATCTGAGAGTGAGGGGGAAGCCGGCAGAACACTGACCCTGCTTCTCACATCCTGCGCGCAGCTGAGGGGGAATGACCAGCCTCTGCCAAATGGCCAGCAGACTTCAAATACCATCTCTATGCTGGATGCTGATGATTCCTGCCTGGATCTCTCCTCTGAGCTCTGGATTTGTGTATTTGACATTGCTACTTGGATGTCTTGTAGGCAAATCAAACAGAACTATTAATTTTTCTACCCTAGGATACTTCCTTCAGTCCTTCCCCATCTCAGTAAATGACACCATCAGTTGCTCAGGCCAAAAATTTAGTAACTGCTCTTCATTCTTCTTTCCCTCATCCCCACGTTCAATCTCTTAGTCTTATCAGTCTTGCCCCAAAGGTATATCCCAAATGTGAATACTTCTCACTAACTCCACTGCTGGCACCTAATCCAAGCATTCCCATTTTTTGCCTAGATTTTTTTTCTTTTGTTTTTTTTTATTAGTAGATTTAAAGAAAGGGAGTCCCCTGGTCTGTTCCATCCAAACACCGTTGAAGCAAGAGACAGATCCACGGGACCACTGAATGCACTGCCTTGCCTAGATTTCTATAATACTTTCCCAACTGCTGTCCTACCTCTACCCTTGCCCCAAATAGTTCACCTTCTGGAGCATAAATCACATCATGTTACCTCTCACCTTAAAATGCTCAGTATCATCTGTTTACTCTTGGAATAAATTGCTTCCTAGGGCCTAAAGCTAAGTCAACTGGCAGGGTCCAGTTTATTTATGACTGGCATCTGTTCTGATTGGTCAGTGCCCATGCTACACAGGTTGTTACATTTTGCACATCACTCCTGCCTAGGAGATGTGCTCTACTCACATTGGCTTTTTCTTTGCCCAAGGAACGCATCGTGCTTTTTCCCAGCTAAGGGGCTCTGACCTCACTGTCCCTTCAGCTTAGATGCTCTTCCCTCAGATCTCTGTTAGTTGCATTCTCAACTAAATGTCTCTCCTCAGAAAGGCTGTCCTTGACTCTAGCGCTGTCATCTAAAGATGTGCTGTCCAATACAGTAGCTACTAGTTAAGTGTGGCTATTTAAATTTAAATTAAATAAAATGAAAAACTTAATTTCTCAGCCAGCCACATATTTGAAGTGCTCAAGAGCCACATGTGGCTAGTGGTTACCATGTGGGACAGCACAGATATAGAACATTTCCATCATCACAGAAAGTTCTCTTGCTGGTCTGATGCAACATCCCATCCCAGTTGCCCTCTATAACTTTACCTTACACAGGTATTACCATCTTCCCGAAAGTTATCAGTACGAGAACATAACTGACTTGTCTCTTCCTACTAGCATAGAACCACTTCAAGGCAGAGACTCTGTCTTGGTCATTTATGTATCTCAAACACTTAAACGGTGCCTGGCATACAGTCAGCACTCAATAAACATTTGCCATACTGACTTGTTTTCCAAGGTAGAGCAGCTAATGGAGTGGAGGGGTGAGGAACACTCTATGAAGAGGCGAAGATAGAATGATGTTTTCCCACAGTGGAAACAATGGAAAGAACAGGAGGAATGTCCATGATGGAAGGATGCACGAATGACAATGGGAGTATGGGAGAGGGTGGGTGGCCTGAGGAGCCTGGCCTTTAGGAGGCAACTCTGGAGGAGTTCTAGAGGGCTGAAGGGGTCGGGAATGTAGATGGCTGTAAGTAAGCGTTCAGGACTTCGAATGGAATTAGTCTCAGTGTAGATTCTGTTAGGCCCCGGCACACAGGTCAGAGCCTTGGCCACATTAAGACAATTTCACATTGTTTCGTGATATCACAGAGAGCTTGGATATTGTTTGAGCAGTTTTGTATTTGCTTTGGTTAAACAATGAGCACGGGGTTATTAGAGCAGAGCTGGTTTTTTTTTGATTTAGTTGGTTTTGCTAACAAATTTTTTTTTTTTTTTTTTTTTGAGACAGAGTCTCACTGTGTTTCCTGGGCTAGAGTACCGTGGCGTCATCTTAGCTCACAGCAACTTCAAACCCCTGGGCTCGAGCGATCCTCCTGCCTCAGCCTCCCGAGTAGCTGGGACTACAGTCATGCGCTACCATGCCCGGCTAGTTTTTTCTATATATTTTTTTAGTTGTCCAATTAATTTCTTTCTATTTTTAGTAGAGACGGGGTCTTGCTCTTGCTCTTGCTCAGGCTGGTTTTGAACTCCTGAGCTCAAATAATCTGCCCGCCTCAGCCTCCCAGAGAGCTAGGATTACAGGCGTGAGCCACTGCGCCCGGCCCAAATTTTTTTTTTAAATTAGGCAACACTTTATTCCATAAAATAGAATAAGTGTTGCCATTTTTGCTAACAAATCTAAAAACTATTAAGACTATTTTGAAAACAGAGGAAATCTGTATAGGCAATCACAAATTGCAGCTGAGCAGAAATACCATTAAAGACCAGACTTGGAAAACCAGCCCCGATGTTACAGATCAGTGGCAGAATATTGTCAAGATATGTGTTTCTAGTTCTCTTGGTAAACATTCTGTTGTTTCATAGCCTGCTCATTTAGCAATTAAAGCTTAATGTATTTTGTGGTTTAGTACACTTCAATGATTTTGTTATAAACTTATTCTTAGGAAAGGCTTTTCATTATAATGAATTTTATCTTGTCAGAATTGAGAAACCAATATGGCTATTTGTATTACTACAGTCCATAAAATAATGCCCGAATGTGTACAGTCTTGAAAACAGTATGATGGAGAATTTTCAAAATTTCAAAACTGATATTTGAAATTTGTACTTAAACTTTATTTATTTATTTATTTATTTTAGTTCCCCCTTGCTGCTATAACATCATATATTTTTATTTTAATTCATGGCTATTAGATACCCTAAATTATATTGATATTACTATCACTCTATCCATAGCAAATAAAATAATTCATGAGAGTTAAAAATAAAATTGGGGCTGGCTGTGGTGGCTCACGCCTGTAATCCTAGCACTCTGGGAGGCCAATGTGGGAGGATTGCTTGAGCTCAGGAATTTGAGACTAGCCTGAGCAAGAGCAAGACCCTGTCTCTACCCAAAATAAGAAAAATTAGTTGGTCATGGTATAGTCCCAGCTACTCGGGAGGCTGAGGCAGGAGGATCGCTTGAGCCCAGGAGTTCGGGGTTGCAGTGAGCTATGAATGATGATGCCACTGCACTCTAGCCTGGGTGACAGAAAGAGCCTCTGTCTCTAAAAAATAAAAAAAATAAAAAAAAAAAAAGGAAATTCAGGGCAGCAGCACTTGAATTTGAATTGTGGAGACTAATTTAGTCAGAGCTATTAAGTTGTAGGCTTGTGGGCACCGGTGAACATCCTTTGGAGAGTTTCAGCAAGGTGGTGGAGATGTGGGCCCGGAAGGCAGGGGTGGGCAAGGCTAGAGTAGAGGTTAGACTCAGGAGTCATAGGCAAGGGAGTTGGTAGCCAAACGGGAGAAGAGAGACCCCTAAAGAGCAGGAGGTGTGTGGAAACAGGAGGAAGATTTGGAAACAGGTGGAGGGAGAGGAAGGAGTGAAAGGCATTGAGACGGAACAGGTAAGGGAAGGCCAGGATGGAATGGAGCCATCAAAGTCCAGGAAAGGTGAGAGTGACAGTGTCAGATACTGGCGAGGTCAAGGAGGATAAGGCATTATAAAAGGTTTTAGAATTGAGATCAGGCTGGTGACTTGAGAGCATGTTTCTTCTGGAGAAGCAAGGGAAGGAACCACATTTCAAAGAAACTCATCAGGTAACTGGGAAAGAATGGTGGCATCATGGTCTTCCTTGGTCCATTTAAAAACGGCTGAGGCCAGGCACAGTGGCTCACACCTGTAATCCTAGCACTTTGGGAGGCTGAGGTGGGAGGATCGCTTGAGGCTAGGAGTTTGAGACCAGCCTGGGTAACATAGCAAGACCCTGTCTCTACAAAAAATTTAAAAAAAAATTAGTTGGGCATGGTGGCACATGCCTGTAGTCCCAGATACTCAGGAGGCTGAGGTGGGAGGATCACTTGAGCCCAGGAGTTCAAGTTATAGTGAGCTATGGTCACACCACTGCACTCCAGCCTGGGTGACAGAGTGAGATCTCATCTCTAAAAAATAAAAAATAAAAATAAAAAGTAAAAAAAAAAAATTTAAAAACTGCAAAGATTTATTATCAGAGTGTTTATCATCAAAGAATGAAACCCCGTGGGCATCACTAACTGGGCAAAATCTCTGCCCTCGTCTGCCCTGATGGCTGGTACCCTGTTCCCCTAGCACAGCAGGTGCAGGGGGTTCCTGAGGCTGCCCATTCACTTACTCGGATGTGCAGGTCTTGGAAGAAGATGAGGAGTGTCTGCCGGATCAGCCCGAACTCCCCAGCAGAGAGACCGCCGTATGTCTGCCAAAGGCAAAGCAGAAATACTTCACTTTCAGAAGTGAGATGAGTAGTGCGGACAGGAAGTGGGAGGCGGGTGCTCAGGGATGGGAACCAGGTAGGCAAGGAGAGGACTCGGCTGCTAGGGCAGGAGGGCCACAGGGGAGCCAGCACGGCTCCCTCACTGGGGACAAACCCTGTTATGCCACACCTGCACAGGTGTACACCTCATCTCTCCCATTCTCCACAGACCTGGACAGGTTACTCTCCAAGATTTAGCAGAACATCTGCAACCAACTCACTTTCAGAATAGTGAGGAGAAAATAGCTTTTCCAGTTTTGAAGGCAACAGTTGGAGGGTGTAAGATGATAGTGCCTATTATAATACCAAAATGGATACTTGTAGATTTATATAATCTTCTGGGAGAATGGCAGGCCTTGATATTCCTCATCCTGTTCTCTTTGCCATAGAATCTGCCTGTTCTTAACAAAGGGATGAGGACAAGTATTGGGGCTGAGAGGGGATAAACCGATGATACTCTTACTTCTGTCAGCTGCCGGAAAGTCTCATCTACTTGGTGCAGGATGGTTGGGGAGTCTTGGATGAATCCCTTGATGGCATCTAAATGGTTGAAAGTGACCAGCAGTACATCCTTGGGACGGGGACACAGCAATATTTGATATTTGAAAGCCATTGTCATCAGGTCATAGAGCTGCCAACACACACACAAACAAGATAAACAGGATTATAAAAGCAGACATAAGAATCTCCAAGTCAAGCATTTACTGAAAACCAACTGTGGGCTTACCACACAGCTCAGGTGACTTTATCAGTTATCACCCAAACCAAGATGCTTTTGAGAGTAAAAGGGGTAATATTAATAATTAAACCAGGGCAAGAGGAGTTAACTGGGACATTCCTGGGCAAACTAGGATTTCTGGTCACCTTACGTGTATTGCTGATGGGACACATATGACGCAATATTGGCAGCTGTGGCATCTGGAACCAGGCACTGAACTTGGAGAAGGAAAACCCAGATTCAAGTACCCCTTTGCTGCTGACTTACTGCAAGACCCTGGCCAAGTTTCTTAACCTCTCTGGACCTGAGTTTTCTCATTTCTAAAAAACACTCTCGATGTTGCAGAGCTGCTGAGAGGGGTAAATGAGATGGTACGTGTGAAAGTGGCAAGGATGAAGTTCCACGACTGTATAAGAACAATTCTAAATGATGAATGATGCTTACTACGACATCAACAAGCTTAGCGACATGTGTGTGTATGACCACCCATGAAGGATCAGAGGGGAGAAACCGGCGAGGACCAACGTGGTCGAGACAGACTTTACGGCAGGAGTGGTTTGATATGGACTGCAAGGCAGTCACAGCGTTCAAACTGGCGGAGGGGAGAGGCAAGGCATTCTGAAGAGGGAAACAGCAAGGGTGAGGGCCTGGGAGGCAGCAGTGGGGATGTTATTTTCCTGGGAGAAAGAGGAGAACTGCCTGAGGACAGTTTGTGTGGGAAATAAAGATGGGTAAGTGTGGCAAAGTTAGACTATTAAAGGTTTTAGGAAGACAGGCAAAATAATGTAGACCAGATGTGGTAGGAATTAGGGGGCTACTGAAGTGCTCTGCGCTGACGTGATAATCTAAAAGTGGTGACTAAATGAGATTAGTCCATCTGGCAATGATGAGATGTGAGAGAAGGGAAAGACTGGAGTTAAGATTAGTCCCTGGCTCCTAGTAGGTTTGTAATAAATATCTACTGATTGTATGAGAGAAAGAAGTATTGCTGGAGTAATCCAGACTTAAGGCCTGGAGTAAAGATGGTGAGAATGGAAAAGGTGGGGGCAGGAAGACCACGTGGTATTCAGAAGGAAAAGCTGTCAGTCCATGGTAACTGCCTGCCTAGACTCGGGATGAAGGTAAGGGTGGTCCAGAAGGACTACAGCATTTTCAGCCTAGGGCCTGGGAGAAGGATGATGCCACTGATGGAGGCAAGGAAGTCTGGGGGATATGGGACAGGAGGTGCCAGGAGAGAAGATGGACAGTCTAGTTACAGACATGTCTGGGGCAGGATTGAAAATATAAACTACAGCTGGGCATGGTGGCTCACTCCTGTAAATCCCAGCTACTTGGGAGGCTGAGGTGGGAGGATTGCTTGAGCCCAGGAGTTTGAAACCAGCCTGGGCAACATAGTGAGACTCTGTTGCTAAAAAAAAAAAAAAAAAAAAAAAAAAAAAAAAAAAAAAAAAGGATAAAATAAGATGTAAACTACTACTATCTGAGAGTTGTGCCAAGCATATTGATACACATTACATCATTTGATTCCATTTAATCTTTACAAGAATTCTATGAGGTAGGTCTTATCCTAGTATAAAAATAAGGAAAACTTGCCTAATTTTACATAGTTGGCAAGTGGCAGAGTAAGATTTGAACTCAGGACTATCAGATTTTAAGGCGCTTGTTAGAATCTTCTACATGACCCCATTTCTCCAACATGCAGCTAAACGTTTCAACTTAGAGAGTGGTATACAATGGGAATAGCCAGTTGCGTGTGTGTGTGTGTGTGTGTGTGTGTGTATGGGGGAAGGGGTGTATAATACTAGGGATATAAATTTAAGACTCTCTGTCATCATTATTAAACATTAAGTGCCTGTTGTGTATAGGAAACCATGCTAGAAATAAAGGATAAAAACAGGTATAAGATGAAGAAATGAAAGTTCAGAGTTATTTAATAAACTGGGTCTCACAACTAGTAATTGGTAGAGCTAAGACTTGAACTCAGGTTATTTGATTCCAACTTCTGTGTCCTTTCTCTATGGAAACCTAAACTTTCTTAAAGGCAGAGAGAGGCTGGGCGTGGTGGCTTATGCCTGTAATCCTAGCTCTTTGAGGGGCTAAGGTGAGAAGATCACCTGAGGCCAGGAGTTTGAGAGTGGCCTGAGCAAAACAAGACCCTGTCTCTACAAAAAATAGAAAAATTAGCTGGGCGTGGTGGTGCACACCTGTAGTCCTAGTTACTCAGTAGGCTGAGGCAGGAGGATCCCTTGAGCCCAGGAGTTTGAGGTTGCAGTGAGCTATGATGACATCACTGCACTCTAGCCTGGGCAACAGAGCAAGACTCTGTCTATGAAAACAAAAACAAAAACAAAACAAAACAAAGGCACAGAGAGAAGAGCAAGTAGAGCAGAAAAGGTAATTAATACATACTTAACATCTACTATGTGCCAGGCCTAGAAATGTTTCTCACTTAATCCTTTCAATAATGGATGAAGTAACTATTATTATTCTCATTTTATAGATGAGAAGATGGAGGCTTAGAGAGGTAAAGTAACTTTCCAAAGGTAAGTGGTAGGAGGTAAGAGGGTACAGTTAAAGGCAGTCTGTCTCCCTGGGGTCAAATGAGATGACCTATGCAATGGTGACTTGCAAGAAACAGGCACAATGTAAATACTAGTAGTAGTTGTTGAGTTTTAGAGTTGGGAAGGATCTCAGAAGTCATCCACACCAGCCCCTCGGTTGTTTGTGTCATTCCACCTGCCCAGGGAGAGTGCTGGTTTTCATGCCCATATTTATAAACCCTAGGAACACACACCTTAACCCAATTCAGGCACTCAACCCTAAAAAATAATTCTGTCTCTAGGTACCCATAATAAGTGAGCATTGATTTTGCACACCTGTCACCCCCCTGATTTTTAAAAATTCACATAAAGGAGGAACTTGAAAAGGAATTATTATTATTATTATTATTATTTTTATTATTATTTTTTTTTTTGAGACAGAGTCTCACTGTGTTTCCTGGGCTAGAGTACCGTGGCGTCATCTTAGCTCACAGCAACTTCAAACCCCTGGGCTCGAGCGATCCTCCTGCCTCAGCCTCCCGAGTAGCTGGGACTACAGTCATGCGCTACCATGCCCAGCTAATTTTTTCTATATATATATTTTTAGTTGTCCAGATCATTTCTTTCTATTTTTTAGTAGAGGCGGGGTCTCGCTCTTGCTCAGGCTGTCTCAAACTCCTGACCTTGAGCGATCCACCCGCCTCGGCCTCCCAGAGTGCTAGGATTACAGGCATGAGCCACTGCGCCTGGCCCACAGTAAACGTTTAACAGATGAAGAAATGAGGCCTGGAGAACTGGGTGATTTGCCTCAGGTCCCTCTGCTAAGTGGCAAAGCCAGGATTAGAAGCCGAGGGGCTCAGCAGTGCTGCCTTCTCCGTGGTGGCCCAGTACTGGTTTCCTGGCACCCTGAACACAGCTCTGATAATCACTGTTGAGAATTTACCTTATGACTCCAGGAACTTCAGTTCCCCAGGGAACAGGCCCAGACACTGGCAACACAAAGCGGCCATTAGAATTCTGAACTCTCTCCTTTAGAAATATGGACACCTAGAAAAAAATACACTTATTGTCATTTTTCTTGGTATGTTTTCATAGACATAAACATTCTGAGGATGGAAAGTGTGTAATGGTTTGAGAATCTTACCTAGTAAGTTTATAACTCACCATAACTAACACCTGCAGAGTTATAGTGTTTTTACAAACATAACTACTTTTGAGCTGAACAGCAAACCTTCCAGGTGAGTCCCATGTCCCTCATTTTGAAGATGAGGAAACTGAAATTGAGAGTGAAGTGACTTGTCCAAAGAGAACAATCCTGGCAGGGACAGGATTCCAAACCAAGGTTGACTCCAAATTCCACACCCATTCCTTGGTTCCCTGCTGACTTTCCATGCAGCTGTGAGCCTTGAGTTGTAAGAACCTCATTATCGCCATTTTATAGATGAGACATCACCGGCTCAGAGGTTAAGACACTTCCTCAAGATCAGCCAGCTGGGAAGGGCAGAAGACTCAAACCCTTGTGTTTCTGCCTCTGGAGCCTAAGCTCTTACCCACATGCTAGGCTGGAGAGAAGGGTGCAGCTCGGGCAGGTGGACCATGTTGGCACTTGAGTTTGAAGGTCTTTTATGTGACTGAAAACATATTATGCTTATTTCTACTCCCTGGTTTGTATACTGTGTGTTGAAGTTTTGGTCATTCACAGACTAATTCCCATTAAGACTGCAGCAGTTAATCAGTTTGACTGGGTCTTATCTTCCTCACCTATAAAATGAGAGATAAACTTCAAGGTCCCTTCAACTCTAAAATTCTACATGTTTATATTAGTAATATCATCAAGAATAATCATCTGGGCTGGGCGCGGTGGCTCACGCCTGTAATCCTAGCACTCTGGGAAGTCAAGGTGGGTGGATTGCTTGAGCTCAGGAGTTCGAGACCAGCCTGAGCAAGAGCAAGACCCCGTCTCTACTAAAAATAGAAAGAAATTGGCTGGACAATTAAAA